CTCCCCAAATGTTTTAGGTTTAAAGAAAATCTGTTCTACTCATGAATGGGTTAATTAATTAAAAATCATGAGCAAACCAGGTTTTTGTTAAAACCTGAAACATTTTTTTTTGGGGGGGGGGGGTTGAATTCTTAACCTTCTCCCTCTGGTTATAGGCCTGGACTTGGATAACCAAAACTCAATTCACTAAATCACACTGGCTCCCAACCTTTGTTTAAGGTCCTTCAGAAAGGGGAGTCTATCAACTATCTATTTCTGTGGATGGTGAAATCTCTTTCTTTGGAATTTACTATTGGCCCTCTATATTTGCAAGTTTCACTTTTGTGGGTTTCATTATTCTTAGATTTATTGAATATGTTTTCTCTAGGAATCTCTCAGTCCTCTAGTGGAACTTTCTGATCAATTTCCAGCAAAAGTTAACTATAGAATCAGCTAGAGGACCTAGAGATTCCTAGAGGAAACACTTCTCTAGGCGCATATAGGTCTTCCGGAACTCTTTTACTGGAAGTTTACTATAAAGTTGAGCTGGAGGACCTAAAGATTCAGAGAGGATTTTTCAGATTTTTTAAAAAGGTGTTTTATTTGTGTTTTGTCTACTTTTGAAGGAGACTTCCTCTTATAACCCCAGGAAATTTGGGGTGATGAGTACATTCATTTTTGTTTTGTCTCTAATTATTTGCACTGTGGCAACATCACAGAGTCTATTTTAACTGTTTAAAAGCAAAATCATACTTCCAGGAGGTTTCTGCTTTAGATGTCCCTGTTTAGTGAACATGGACCAGCTTAAATGATATAAATGGATAAGGAGTAGAACTGGAAGACATTGATTATTATAGTTTTAATTGTTTTATATAGATTTTATCATGTGATTAAAATGTTTTAATTGATGTATGTATATATGCTGTGACATCTAATTGTTGCCAATTTGTATGCCATCCTGAGTTGCCTTTGGGCTGAAAAGAGCAGGATAAAAATGCTATAAATAAAATAAAATAAATAGTGACATATGTTACATTGCAGACATTTTTAAAATTGCATTTTTTTATTTCCAAGGTCTCCAGTTTTATTTCCAAGGTCTCTCTCTCTCTCACACACACACACACGCACACACACGCGCACACACGCGCACACATGCGCACACGCACACACACACATATTTTATGCTATATCCAACATTTAGTCCATTTCAATCTAGCTGTGCTGACATTTAGTGGCATGCCATGGAATTCATAGCTCTATAACCCCTTTATGGAGGGGTCATATGTGGACCTTGGATCTAAATCCAGTTGCTTGGCTCAACCACAGTAGTCATGAATCAAATAATTTATCCCAAAGTTGATTTTACATTTTCCCACTGATGGTCTACTTTATAGCAGTTGAAATTAGCAATTAGATTTAAGGTACACTTTATACCATTTATGCACCTATGAGCAGGTGAGTATATTTCCTGTCATAGGGTGCTTCCAGACATCCATATAGCACAGAATATCAAGGCAGAAAGTCCCACAATATCTGCTTTGAACTGGGTTATCTGACTCCACACTGCCATATATTCCAGTTCAAAGTAGAAAATGTGGGATTTTATTCATCTGTGTGGAAGGGGCCATAGTCCATCATCTTTCCTAGGTTCCTTTTGTCACTTCAGGTTTTTTGAAAGCCTATCAGAAATACTTTTTCCCAAATATTCTTAGCCAGAATTTCTTCCCTTCTAAGATTATTCATCTCTTGAACAATAACTCACACCTGCATAGCGTTTGTAGCTTATGCATGAGCTGTTGTTTGATCTAGTCAATAAAAAAAACTAAAAATAACTATTATACTATCCCCCAGTATGCTTTTAAATGGAATAACACTGGCCTCCAGTTGTAGTTTCCTTCCTTTTCACACCTGTTGTTGTAGAGTTCCTTGAAACCTTACAACAGTTTCCAATTGCTGCTTATTTTTCAAAGAAAGCTTATGAAAACTCCAGTTCATGCGAGAGCAATGGATGGAAATGGCACGGGTTTTTTAAAGCCACAGTAAGTCATATGAATATTTCCAATAACTCTGTTCCAAAAAGTATTTTTGGAAGCATGAATGTTGTGTTTTTTAATGAAGGCCACATTCTGAGGATACGACACCATATGTCACATTCGTTCTCGTCCCAAAAAAGAAAAGGAAAGTATGCTAGGCTTTTAAGTGTTTTGGAAAAGTGTCTTTTGCATGGCTGACATTATTCTTTGTGTGCCTGAGGAATTTTATGCTCTTTTAAGCACATCCCAAATAAGATGTCTCTCACAAGACAAATCCCTCACAATGTACAGCTAGAGGATGGGCCTAGCATTTTCATGGCTGAAAATTATGCAGGCAAGAAGGTGTGTTTGTGCATGGCACAGTGAGCAAAAACAGGTAATATGCTGCCAGGAGGCTTAACAGGACCCCAATACCTTTTTTAAAAAACAGCCCAGCCTGTAATGTCTCCCACCAATGAAAAGCTGCCTTCTATAGCCACCGAATCCTGTTTGGCCTTGGAAGTTAATCAGAGTCACCTCCAGTTAGTATTTGAATGGGAGACTACTAATGAATACCAGGTGAGCTACATTTCAAAGTAAAACCACCTCTATGTACATACTGCCTAAGAAAACCCAATGAATTACATAGGCTAGCCATAATTCAACAGTGGCTTGAAGGCACATACTCCTTTTGTACCTTTCAGGAGCAATGTTTTGGGTGATAGGAGGGTGAAGGCTGAAGATTCAACCCCTCCCAAATCCAGATTTCCAGAATGAATGTGATCATTTCCCTCCTATTTTTTTCTGTGTCACTCTGTTTCCGTTTTTAGGCTTAGTGCAGCCCATAGCAGGTACTGGGGTATCATGCCCTCAGCTGTAGCTTCTCATGCAGGGACATGAGAGAAGCATCCCACAAGATGGTAAAATATCTGGGTGTCCCCTGGGCAACATTCTTGCAGACGGCCAGTTCTCTCATACTAGAAGCAGCTTGCAGTTTCTCAAGTTGCTCCTGACACACACACACAAATTATTATACCCCACTTTATCTCCTCAAAGAGGAATCAGTTGGTATCAATTGACACACTAAACATAGTAATGTGAAGGTGCTTCTAGCTAATGCTTCCTTGTTTTGTATCTTGAGCTCATTTTGCAAAAAAATTGAAGGAGAAGAGAAAGGAGAAAAAGGTAGGGAAAAAAAACATTTGCAAAAGTGGGGTACCATGGGTTAATTAGGACTGTTCTTACCAAACTGGGACAATTGGATGATATAGAGTATGTGAATGAATACTTGACTTTCTGGAGTTGCCCACTTTTGATTCAGATTACCAGATCCAGGCCAGGCCCAGGGCTGGACAATAACAGGCAAAAGGACTCTCTTGAAAAGTATACATATGTTTATTTTAAGTATTTATGAAACTGGGTGTATGGGAGGTATATGAAATGAAATTAGTGGTTGCAGTTTCCAAATGACCTTCCAGTTGTTCGTTGCAGTAGTTAGAAACGGTTAGATCTCCACATGAAGCAGAATGTACTGAAATGATAGAACAGACTATATTCCCTCAGCATATGGCAAAGAACACGAAGGATGCTATCTCATGGGTGGGAGAAAGCATTGGGGGAAGTGGGGGAAAGCATTTTGTGGGGGAAAGCATTTTGAAGAGTGGGGACTCATCTTACACTATCAAGGTCAATCTTCATGGATGTCCAGCCACCCCACATCCTTTTTCTGTCTTCTTCCCACTTTCCCCTGCTTCCCCCCTCTTTCTTCAACCAGGAATCTCAAGTTCTGTACTCTGGCAAGACAGATTCCCACAGGTGGCCACCAGAAATGGCCTTGCATCATGAAATGGCCTCCGTGAGACTCTATTTTACCAGTGTGCAAAAAATGGAGAGAAAAGGGGAGGGACACTTACAGGAGATAAAGTCCTAATAAGCAAAATTGGGCAAGAGGGGAAAAATCTTTAAAAATCTGCAGAAGTTGTAAGATGTGTGCTTATCTTCTCAGACAGGGAAATGGCAGAGAAGATAATTGAGCAATAGTGGTTTCCTATTCTCTCTCCCTCTCTCCCTCTCTTTGTGTGTGATATATATGTGTGTGTGTGTTTTCCCTTGACATTCAGTCTAGTCATGTCCAACTCTGAGGGTGGTGCTCATCTCCATTTCTAAGACAAAGATCTGGGGTTATTTGTAGACACCTCCAAGGTCATGGGGCCAGCAAGACTGCATGGAGTGCTGTTACCTTCCTGCAGTAGTGGCGCCTATTGATCTACTCACATTTGCATGTTTCGTTACTGCTAGGTTGGCAGAAGTTAAGGCTAACAGCAGAAGCTCGCCCTGCTCCTCAGAGACACACATACACATACCAGTCATGGAGACTAAGCAACCAGGGTGGTGTGAATGATATTGTCATATTTGGTGGCAAGAAAGTAATTGAATCCCAAATATAATGATGGTGTGGAAAGTGTATTGTCATTCAGCTAGGTATGTGGGAAAGGCTTTTAGAAATGATTTAAAACTGTTCACTAATGTGATAAGTATCGAGGAATCTCCAAGTTCAAAGTTGCTATGGGTTTCACAGTGGATTTTCCCCCTTAATGGTCCAACTACTTTTGCTTGTGAAATTTCTTGTAGAAAGTTCGAGAAGCTTGTCAGGGGTTTTATTTTCCTCATATCAGAGCATTTTATGGGATATATTTAAAGCCAATTGGAACTTGTATACCACCACTAAGCTATGTTTTTTGTGCCTATTCATAGTGAGCTCATCAACCTCCAATTGTCAAAAAAGGAAAGCAAGACCTATAAAAGCAATACCTTTGGAACCATTTTCTAAGTGAAAGCTCAGTGCTATATAAAGGTGCTGATGGTATAAGATGAAAATACAATACTTTGATTCCTCTTCTTTCTCTCCTTCTCCCTTTATCTAGTATAGCTATTAATTACAATATATTAGAGTCTAACCTGGCATAAAATACAAAATCTCAAATATTTACTCTTTGCTTTCTTTTGTAGGTTATAAATGAAGAGAGGGAGAAGCCAGCTGGTTATTGGTATCTTTAAACGTGACTAAGTACCAACATTCAGACTCAAGATCATGGCTGAATCAGGTGATAGCAATCGACTTATAGTCATGGAAGTACATCAACTTAGACACGCACAAAGTTATCAAGATACAACTTCAGTGGGGCTGAAAAGAGTGCAAAAGCGTTTTCTTCAGAAAGATGGAAACTGCAATGTATACTTCAAACACATCTTTGGGGAGTGGGAGAGCTATGTGACTGATATTTTCACCACATTAGTCGACATTCAGTGGCGCCATATGTTTGTGATCTTCTCATTGTCCTACATTCTTTCCTGGTTGTTCTTCGGCTTGGTCTTCTGGTTGATTGCACTCCAACATGGTGACTTGTCATCTGATGAAGAAATCACCCCTTGTGTTGATAAAGTCCATAGTTTCACAGGGGCTTTCTTATTTTCTCTTGAAACCCAGACAACCATTGGCTATGGATCCCGTTGTGTCACTGAAGAATGCCCTGCAGCAATCCTGATGGTTATCCTTCAATCAGTCTTAGGTTGCATTATTGACACATTCATCATTGGAGCTGCCTTGGCCAAAATGGCAACTGCCCGGAAGCGAGCTCAGACAATCCGTTTCAGCTATTATGCTACTATAGGCTTAAGAGATGGCAAGCTTTGTCTGATGTGGCGTGTTGGTGATTTCCGACCCAATCATATGGTGGAAGGCACAGTAAGAGCCCAACTCTTGCGGTATGTGGAAGACAGGCTGGGGAGAATGGTTTTGGAATACAAAGACTTAAAACTGTTAAATGACCAGATCATTGTTGCTACTCCAGTGACCATTGTACATGAAATCAATCAGGACAGTCCACTGTATGAACTGGATAGAAAAACCCTGGCAAAAGACAACTTTGAGATCCTGGTGACTTTTGTTTACACTGGAGATTCAACAGGGACATCACATCAATCAAGGAGTTCCTATGTGCCTCGAGAAATTCTTTGGGGCCACAGATTCAATGATGTTCTGCAGCTGAAGAAAAAATACTACAAAGTTAATTGTCTTCAGTTTGAAGAAACCACAGAGGTTTATGCTCCTTTTTGTAGTGCAAAGCACCTTGATAGAAAGGAACAAGAATACACAACTTGTGATAGGACCTCAGATAAAGAACCTGGAACATCTTCAGCATTATTGGGCCTCAGAGCACGGTCGTTTAGTGCGGACACTTTAATCATCCATTCTGAAATGTCAGATAGATCAGCCAAAGTGCCTCATCAAGTCAATACTAAGGAGCTTCCATATGAGAGTGCTTTAGGGACTTTAAGCAGAATCTCAATGGAATCTCAGATCTAGCAATCTGTGACCACAGCTGTTGTGATCTTTTTGCAGGGTGGTGGCATTTTTCAAGCGCACACATTTAAACTGAAGTATTTAGGAATCTGGTCCTGAAATCATCAAGAAAAGAAATAACTCCCCAATTATTTGAGATTTCCTTTTACTTTAATTAGTATTTATGTTTAATACATATTTTAATAGATAATTCAATTATTATTAATTTCATTTAAAGTCACATTTCTTTGGTAGTTATAGCATTTCATAGGTCGATTGTATAATTCTAAAATGAATTCTCTGAAACACAAAGGAAAATCTATTTGACAGAAATTCATTCAGAGAGATTGTTTGAATATAACCATTCTAAAATTCATGTAATAATATTATTTAGCCATTCATTAATACTGAATTGCTCTAGATAAGTGTGCTTAGGAGTGATCTACAAGTAATTAAATTTTAGGTGTTCCCTATCAATATATATGTCTATGTTGAAGCAAAACATTAATAAAAATTAATAAAAATCTGTATTTTGAACTGTTGACAATATTGTTTTTGAGGTTCATGTTAGGCTTTTCTTGAGGAAATGTAAGTGTCTATAAAAATACTGAGATTTAGGTCTCTTTCTCCAATCTTTTGCAGTTTCAAATAAAAAACTTTGCATAAATTGTGAAAAAAGCAACACATACTGGAAAAAAAAGCTTATCTTGCCAAAATCACAATTCAAAGATATGTTCTTTGCTTGCACTTTATATTAATGATTTAATTGTGGCTTGTTTTATATGGGAAGGTCAAGGCAAGGCTCACGTATAGGCAGTCCTTAAGTTACAAACATTTGACCTCCAAATGACTCCTAGACATTAGGAAGTGAGTGAAATCTACCCCTAGGAAGGGGAATTCACCCCTGAAAGAGTTGTCACAAGGAAAAGGGGTCTCCACCGAAACTTTCTTGCCAATCTTTGTTTCTACAACAAACCAAACTTTTCAAAATCCAATGATCATAGGGACAGAAAGTGAAGTGAAATAATCTGAACTGGAGCACAGTCAGTAAAATAAACACCACAGAGGTGTCATCCCTTCCCTACGCTATTCAAAGCTGGAGTTACACTTAAAAATGCTACCTGTTCTGACTTACATGCAAATTCAACTTAAGAACAAACCTACAGAATCTATCTTGTTTGTAACTTGGGTCTGCCTGCGTATAGGTTGAGAACTTTAATTGTGCTTGTTTTCATAGTGTAATCAATCTTTAAAATTTGTATTGCATGTCTGGGGAAAAATATTTGTAACTTGTGTAGAAAAGATCGTATGATGCCTCTAGGCTTTTTTAATTTAGTCTTCATTTCTTTAAGTTCTCAGTTGGGCAATTTTCTTTACCTCCATTTAGTAACATATGTGGCTTTTAAGCTCTGATTATGCCAACAACTGTAACTCTAACTGCATAGGAAAATAAAGAAAAAAAAGAAAAATTCTATATCTTGGATAATGTTGATTACTAAGTCATTATTGAAATTAAAGTTATTTTTTTCATTCCAAATATAACAGGAAAGTATAGTTTTTCTCTAGATCCAGCTGTCATTTGTTGCATTAATTACAACATGTTCCTTTCCTAATCAGAATATTTTTCCCTATGAAGGACATCATTAGACATGGAACATAGTGTACCACTTTGGCTTATTCTGCCAGGTGCTCTGACCTCAGCAGTCTACTTGATCACACAGTGTTTTACTTGACACCCTTCTGAGCAAACAGCTGGCATGATTGAGAAGAAATGTTTTTCAATCCATAATTAATACCCCTCCTCTATAAAAAAAACTTGTGCTAAATGTATGAAGGCAGCTGAAAACCAGGACTCAAGCAGTGGTTTTATCTACAGAAACATGGACACGGGGCGGCTCAACCCATTACGCAAAGTGAGCGTTTGCAGTATAGTTGATTTTGCCCAGGGGCGCTCTTGAGGCGCTCTTGGGGAAAAATAGACCTTGACATATGCGAGTTGTAGTTACTGGGATGTATAGTTCACCTACAATCAAAGAGCATTCTGAACTCCACCAATGATGGAATTGAACCAAATATGGCACACAGAACTCCCACGACGAACAGAAAATATATAGCAATGATTGGTTTGGGAGGGGGGGGGGCAACAAAATACTGTTTGCTTACCATTGAAAATTACCTAGGGCCGCCTCTGCATAGACAACATGTAAGAATTACATTTCTGTGTGCATGAGAGAGAGAGCATGTACACCTGTGCATGTGGCCCCCATCATACACCAAATGTATGATGGTGTATGATAAGCTTATGCATCCCTGATGTAAGTGGCAAAGACAAAAAATCCTGTAGATAGGTTCTTGTGGGTTTTTTCGGGCTATAGAGCCATGTTCTAGAGGCATTTCTCCTGACGTTTCGCCTGCATCTATGGCAAGCATCCTCAGAGGTTGAGAAGGTCTGTTGGAAGTAGGAAAAATGGGCTTATATATCTGTGGAATGGCTGGGGTGGGGCAAGGAGCTCTTCCCTGCTGCAGTTAGGTGTGAATGTTTAGCTGATCACCTTCATTAGCATTTGAAGGCCTGCCTGAGTCTGGGAAAATCTGTTGCTGGGAGGTGTTAATCTGTGCCTGGTTTTTTCCTCTCTGTTGTTTAGCTGTTATAATTTTTGTTATAATTCTGTTATAATTTGTTATAAAGCTGTTATAATTCTGCTTGCCATAGATGCAGGCGAAACGTCAGGAGAAATGCCTCTAGAACATGGCTCTATAGCCCGAAAAAACCCACAAGAACCTAGTGATTCCAGCCATGAAAGCCTTCGACAATCCTGTAGATGGCTCTCACTTCCCACTGAACAGAATAGAAATACTAGAAAGATGAACAGATTGAGTCTCCCTTAGCTGAGATGCTTGTGATCAGAAGTTTTTTGGATTTTGGAATAACTATATTTGCACACACATATAGTAGATGCCGAAGCCACACATCCAGTGTTTTCCTCAAGAGGCCCCCTCTTTGCAACTGCCAGAAACCTGATGGGAAAGAAACTGAAGATAGGGAAAGAAGGAAGGCTCTGGTCACACATGGCTCTTGCAAAGCAAACAAACAAGCAACCTGCCCCCAAAAAGCCACCAAAACAAAAGAAAAAAACCCAGACATTCCCTATGCTTTCCAGACTGTCATCCTACTTTCTGCCCTTTAAAAAAAATAGCTAGGAAGGACCACACCCCCAAACCTTTTTATCCTTTCTAGGCAGGATACATGTGGGAGCCAATGGGGTATCTATGTCCATTGCTAGGGTGCCCACCCTGCTGCACAAACCCATTGGTGGACTCTGCAAAGGAAACAGGTAGCAAAAAGCTTCAATTTTTGAATATTTTGGATTTCAGATTTCCGCATACGAGAATGCATGGTGCATACTATGCTTATTATTTATACGTACTTTTATACTTACCACATAAGTAGATACTTTTTTTTCTTGTAGATCAACTGCAGGGTTGGGCTAAGATCCTTTCATATGGCAATCTGCCAAACTTCAAAAGGTAACAATAGTTGTTGTCATTGCTAGGCTGTTGTGTTCTAACAAGCCATTTTTTTACTTATGGAGACCCTACAATAAACCTGTAATGGGGTTTTCTTGGCAAGATTTGTTCAGAAGTTGTTTCCCCCCCTTTGGCTTCCTCTGAGTCTAAGGTGTTTCCAGGGCTGTACAGGGATTAAAGCCCTGGCGTCTAGTGTCACAGCTCAATACTCAAACCACTACACCAGGCTAGCTAGCAGCTAGAAAGATTTCTTCCCATAAAGGAAGAGGGACAACTACTGACAACACAGACATTGCCTGGCCAGGGCGGCTGGAAAGGAAGACTTCCATTGCCTTTATACTAGGGATGTGCAAATCTGTTCTGTCTCCATTTTGAATTTTGGGTGCCCCTGTTCTGTTTTTGGGAAGATGTTGGGAGATTAGAAGGGGGGTCGTTCGAATTCATAATCCTGAGTTCCGTTTCCGTAAGCATCTTCCCAAAAACAGAACAGGGGAGGCACATGAAAACAGAATTAAAACACAACCAGTTCTGTGCTATTTTGCACAACTCTACTTTATAAACATCCCAACAGATTGGCCAAGGTAAATGCTTTCCTTCGGGGTAGAACTCTTAATAAATAGCTGAGGCTGGATCTACACTACCCTATACAACAACAACAACAACACTTTATTATGGTAACTGGCCAGCACAAAGGAGGCACAAGTGCCCTGGGAAGGGGAAACACAACTCCCCAGTGAAGCAGTTATTACACAGATTAGAAAAAAAAAATTAAAATCACAGTTTAAAAACACAGGTTAAAAATCCCAAAATCTGATGGCAGATTAATTGCTTTGAATTGGATTATATCAATCTACTATTGCCAGATAATCTGGGATGAGCAGATAATCTGGGATCAGATTCTGGGATATAGGGCAGTGTAGTTCCAGCCTGAGAAAAAAAAACTGTCCATAAAGTACTCCTTTTGGTACTTGATAATCTTCCTATAAGGTGTTTAAATGGGACAGGATGGCAAAAGGAACTCCACTGCTTTTCAAGGCAGGAACAGGTTGTTCACACTCAGTATTTCAAAAAAATATGCATCTTTATTTAATACCCACATGACCTGTAGATTCATACTGATAAGACTGCTTCCTTGATTCACATATAACACACACTGGAATCTACTGATTGCCCTCAGAATTATCTCAGCACTGATCTGAAAGAGCGTTTTCATGGGGAAAAGAAACTTTTCCATCTCTGGTTTTACACAGCTTCAGTCGGTATGTTGCATTGTGGGTTTTTTAAAGTAATTGCTGTTAATTGACCTTTTTTGTGAAACCTGAATCTGAGTTTTCCCACTGGTGCTCCACCAAATAACAAAGAGCCATATGTAAACAAAGTGCCCTTTTGGAAATTTGAGTGCTGTCCCAGCTATGCCGCTTTTGATAAGGATATTTGGGGTCATCATTCCGCCACCTTGTGGTTGCAAAAGAAATACAGAATTCAAAAGACAATGAAGTGTTCTCAGTGTAATTCACACTTGTGATTTGAGACGGTCAATCTATCACTGCTGAGAAGCACTTCTTAGTGGGAAAGTTCATTTGCTTGTCTTCAGGAGACTGCATATTCCTCAAAATACCAGTGAAAACTTCATTTCATTTCATCTTAATTACAATTTTCCCCAACTTGCACATTTCTTTTTATTGTTGTGTTGCTAACTGCTATCAAGTCTAATTTGATTCATGGCAATTCTATGAATGAGAGACCTCCAAGTTCTCCTATCAGGTCACACAGACTCAAAGTCATGACTTCCTGGACTGAGCCTATTAATCTGAAATTCAGTTTTCCTTTTTTCTAACTATCTTCTACATTACCAAGCAATATAGTCAAAGTTCATACTTCAGGAACCCCTTATTTGTCATTTTAACAGCCTATGATATGCACAAAATTCTTCTCCAGCTAAGTGAATTTGTTCACTTCCTATCTGCTTTCTTCTTTTGGCCAGCTTTTACAGCCATGCATAGAAATGGGAAATACAATGACATAAACAATATAGCTTTAGTGTTCAATGATATATCTATACACTTCAAAGTCTTTTCTAAGTCCTTCTTTACATACAGGATGAAAAAATTGAGATGGGAAAATCCAGAACTGACGTATTTCCCCATCCAGGCTTAAGATCCACCCAGGCTGAGTTCTTAACTCTTAAAATGCTGGCTTTGAATTCTGTGTGTTTCAGTCATATTAGCATTGGAATATGATTGCTCCTTTTTCTGCCCAGACAGCTTACTGGTTGTCTCCATGCTAGAAATAGTTACACTTACTGCATTTGGCCAAATGAAATGGAAAAGGATTTAATTTCACATTTTAAAAAAAAGAATTCAGAAAACCTCTTTATATCCAGGGTGGAAACACTTGTGATGTATCCAGTCCACACTACTTAATTTAAGCACCATTATTCCATTTTAATACTGGAATTCTCTACCAGGGGGGCTCCTCAGGTGCCTCTCAGCAAATTACACTTTCCAGGAAATAATTGGATTAAACCATGGCTTGTGAATTAGTAGCAAATAGTTATAAATCTGCAGTGTGGATGCACTCTTGCAAGTTAATGTGTGAGGAAGCCAAATGGATTTCCATAATGTTTGGTGAGTTAATGCTTAGATAATATAGTAGTACTCCAAGACAAATAGATCTGTTGTCCAAAAGCAAAAGGTAATGCTTCATTCAGAGTTACTGCTCACATATCCACTCAGAAACAGTGTGAGGAGCAGGGATTTCTTCAAGTACTGGTTGCATTCTGTCAACAGAGATCTGCTCCAGCATTCTTAGTAAGCATAGTCACTGGAACCAATTTAACTATTTGGGAACTGTTGAAAATATTCCCTCTTTCATTGCCACTTTTTCAAATATATGGACAACTGTACATACGTGGAGCTCCTCTAATGT